GCTCCTCTCGCTCCTACATCGCCCTCACCCTCACCCAATTGATCGCCCCCGCCCTCGCTCCTCGCGCGCTGGAACCGCTAGGCTCGATCGCACCCGCGCCGTCGCACCAGCGACGAGACGAAGCCGTCAACGTCGCCCTCGTCGTCACGAGACGCGGCCGCCCTCGCAAGTCGCACATGTGATCCAGGTGAGTCTTGTGACCGTTTTCCAACTCCTCACCCTCTGTCTCCTTCCCTGGTTCCTCCTACGCTGGTTGTGAAGCCGCAGCCCAGCCTCGATCGTGCACTCGGAGTGAGGCTTCGGCGGCCACATCCAAATCCCCCTCCCATAGATAACCCTAGCAGTCAGTCGAGCATTTTTTAATTAAACAATGTGTAAAAACTCAATTTTGTTATTGTTTTGATGATAACACATAGGAAAATTGAAATTGCAATGCACTAGAAATCCTCTTTCTGAAACACCATGAAACTGTATCAGGTTAGCACGATTGCTCCATATCTGGGACATATTTTAGTTAGTTAGTTAATTACATACAGTGTAGGGAGAACCAGAGAAGTCAATTTAAGGAATTTGCTATGGTTGACCAGCCTGAGTTGTTACAAGCTGTAAATGTAATGTATGGACTCCAAATCATGCTTTGATAAGGTGGACCGTGTTAATAGATTCCTGATAGAAATAGTCGCCTACCACACATAAAAGATGCACAAGGTTGCCACTCCACAGTTAATTTATCCTGGAGCCTATGTGTAATCACAATTAACAATTTGCTGCCAAACCAAAGAAAGAAGAAAAATATATTGCCTCCTGAAAAAGGATACTTAGTTTTTCTTTTTGGTTGCCAAAGTGTTGGACATGAAAAGAACTGTTTTGTCATTCATACTATTGTGAGCTAATTTAGGTGCAGCTTGTATCCTTAGCATATTTCATAAAGAGAAGAGTTTAGATAATTGTGACATAAACACATGGTTGGTGCTAAGAGAGTGGAAGGTTTAAGAAAATTGCATTGTAGGTCAAAGAAGATCTTGATTAAACACCACGGGAAGCAAAAAGCACATTAGAGTTTACCATTAAGGATTTTAGTCAAAGCTAAAAAGAACCTGAGGCATTGCTTATATTTCATTACGAAATGAGGCACCGGCAGTCTTTCATGATGATTGTATTTGCACCATTAATGGCTTGCTGCTCCATTTTCATCCTAAAAAATCTATGGATAGTCAATAACATTGACAACTTCGCTGGCATGAATTAGTGCAAATTCATTGTCGACCAACTATGGCATTTTGCAAACAATGGGAAGGAACCAGGTTGCAGCAAAAAGACAGTATATGGCTGCCCTGCTTTGCTTGTGGTGAGCATCTTGTGTAGTAACTATGTATTTTCTGCTGCAGTAAAGATGATGTGCATCCACAGCTTGGTTCAGTGATGCTTTGTGCAGCTTTTAGAGCAGATATCTGTTTCAGTATGTAATCTTTCAACGCCGCATATTCCCTTTCTAGGTTCATAATTACGAAGTTCTCATCATTGATTTTTTTTATGATAAGATCAGGACCCCTGGTGCAAGCGGTAGAGTCTTACCGCCTGTGACCGGAAGGTCCCGGGTTCGAGTCACGATCTCCTCGCATTGCACAGGTGAGGGTAAGGCTTGCCACTGACACTCTTCCCCAGACCCCGCACAGAGCAGGAGCTCTCTGTACTGGGTACGCCCCCCTTTTTTATAAGATCAGGACCCCTACTTTCTTGCTATTGATTGAGTCTGGCAATGGTTTTAAAGGAATGGTCAGCAAGGATTCAAAAGAGGAGATGTCCCTCAGAGTGAAAGAAGTTGACAGAGTCCCTTCGTGTTCTGTCAGTAATGCATTTTCTCTCGGAATGTCATTCTGCTACTGCAATTTTCATCTCTTGAGAACAATACCGTTCAGTGTTGAGGTCATCGAGTTTTCTCCACTTTCAGTTTTCAAGGCTGCTGCGAGAGGACTGATCTGCTTGCCTGTGGATTGGCTCTTTGACAGGAGCGTTTCTGAATGAATTTTGGCATTCGTTCTTGGTGCAATAAGTGCAGATTCAGAAAGGTTTATTCTATCTTTTATTCGATGTGTAGGAATCATGACTTCATGACTAGGATTGTGTCCTTAGTGCTTTGCAATATAATTATGATTTTCATCTGATGCAATTGTGCGTTTGCAGGTACTGGATCGTTACTATTTATTGGTCACTTCTCATATCCCTGGTCACGGTAAGTCTCATTTTTGTTCTAAAAGAAGTTGAATTCCTTAGTGTATTACACTGAGATTCAAAAGATACCAGATGTTTAAAAGCCTATTGTGGATGCCTTTTAGTTGCTTAACAAAAAATTGTAGTACGTCATTTGCTTATTATATATTGTTATTAATTCTTTTGACCTACCTTCATTGTGGACGTCTGGTGAAAGATGCAGATCCCAGTGCTTAACTGTAGATGGACATCAACATAGGGTGATTTGGTTAACCATGTTTGAAGGCCATCTGTACCTGGCTTGTAGCCTTGTACTTAATTTATCAGATAGTGGTCAAGTTTAGTATTAGTTTTGTTCAGACTTGTGGCAGATTAGTCTTATAGGTGCTCAACAATTTTTATTTCAAGTACTATCTCCTTCTCACCTGCACTCCTGTCTACCAGATGACCCCTGGGAGAGTTCAAGCTCTCCTTTTTTTATTTCAACTTTGCAAGTATGAATCTAAATATACTCCATCAATCTGACTTCTCTTTTCAAGTATTTCCTACTATTCCCATGTTTTTTTCTGGTACAGTAATAATATTCAGAGTTGTATTGGAGTGAGCCACCTAGATGTGTTGTGTCATGCATGCATATGGTCATGGCCTTATGGGTGTACCATGTATGTAAAATATTTATATATTGTTTAGTTCCATTCCTTGATTTAGTTTGGTGGTGGTCATTATGACTTTCATCAGCGGCGGCGCACACAAGAAAGGCGAGGGCGACGATGACAAGGACGTCGGCGAGGGAAGGGAGGAGGAGATGGTGCACATTTGCTGCGTGTGCATGGTGCGCCACAAGGGCGCAACCTTCATCCCCTGCGGCCACACCTTCTGCCGCCTCTGCTCCCGCGAGCTCTGGGTCAGCCATGGCAACTGCCTGCGGCCACACCTTCATTGATTATTCAAGTATGTTTGTTAAGTTGCAATAAAATGGTACAGTATTACACAATGTGTGGGTATTGTAAAATATGTTGCATACAGATTGTAAAAGTGAGGAAGAAATGCTTACAAGTAAATTTTCTTCATTATTCTTGCATATATAATATTGCCAGTGCTACAGTTTAGGAATCCGATGGCTATGAAATTTAAAAATGTGTGAAAGAAAGCCAAGACGAAGAGACTTGGTTCCAGGGTCTTCAATTCAGCCAAGAACTCTGACCATGTAGGTTTAGTTTCACGGATTCTATATCTTTTGTTCTAAATCTCTCTGGTCAAATTTGTAGGTTCAATGGAATCAAATAAGGAGGAGGATGCTCAAGCCTCCTATTGCCCTTGTTGAGTAGCAGTTGTGTGCTACATCTTGTTTTTGAAGTGATGCATAGACGGGTTAGATATGCGACAAATTATTTTAGATTCTTTTTTGTCAAATGGTTCTATCTGTATGTAACTATGTATATGTAATATTTGAGTATTTGTGCACAAGTTAATCTCAAGAAGGCTCGTGATGCTATATATAGACACTGAGCATTGAAAATTTGGATAGTAGACTGTCATCTAATCAGTGTCCTTTTTATCAGGTGTATTTTCAGTTGTATGCATGTCTCCTTGGGTGGCTTGTGGCTAGAACTAATTTACTTTCAAGGAGGGCATATGTGTCGTCTATATACCTTTATTTAAACAAATATATACCTTGTACATATGAACTAATGTAAAGTTGAATTGATACTTTTTGTTCAGCATGATTTGTGGACTCATACACGATGAGTGTTGTAGGTTTGCGTTTGTTTGTGGGTTCTGACGTGGCACGGCCCGGGTGGGGCCGTGCATGGGGGGGGCACCTAGAGCTGCCGCCGTCGGGCGAGGGGCGGGGTAGTTGCGGCGGCACACATCGCTGGGGCGGCACACATCGACAAGACATGCTATAGCGGCATAGGGTGTCCGCCATCGTTTTAGTATTTCAAAAAACTTATGGTCGGTTTTCTGAAAAAGAACTTTAGAGATTATACAATGTATATTTCTCATCATATGTGTTGTTGTATTGTAATTAGCGGAGTTGCAATGTAATTGTTGAAAAAGGTTTATACGGTGAGTATAACATACTTTTGTTTTAAGGTTTTGTGATAGATTTTTCAAGACACTACAATATTACCCATGTGACAGGCACTACTGTTTATAAATATACTCGAACCTGTGTACAGGATGGTATGGAGATGCGGCAGAACTTATTCGTGGTTTTATTGGCGCACGAAAGAAATGAATATCGGAGATTTCTTCCTGCCGATATAAAATATTATCTTAGCCGCATCAAAGAAAGGTCTATAAAGTAAAGTTTGTGAGCCTGCGACGTCTAGCTCTCCGTGACTGTGTTAATTTCACGAACTTTGCTTTTTGTATTAAATGTCACCTTAACGTCGGTATTTAATTTTACAGTATTGTTATTTTATCGTACGATCCATATGTTTTTAGTATAAAACTTTAATTGTTCCGTAGCAATGCATGGACACTCTACCTAATAAAAATATAAAAGGTTATTATATTGTCGAGTCAAGGGGAGTTACCATATTGCCTCCACACTATTCAACATGTTCGTTTGTTGGTTTTAGCCATGGCTTATCAGTCAGTCAACGGTGTTTTTCTCTCACAATAAATCAGCACCAGTCAGGCTTATTAGCCCAGAAACCAATTAGCGAATAGGCTGAGTGACTGGTATGTGGTAAAACAACACACAGTGACAAAAATTAAAGGAACAAATTCCTTGGGACCGAGCATACTGAATGCATCATTCTTACGGTGGCCATCATCATCTATAATTCCTTGCTCGATGCACCATAGCCAAAATCCGACCCACCCCTTGATGATTTGCTCCCTCCAGCCTTAGCTCCTCCAGCTGCAACGGCATTACCACTTCCTCCCACATTTCCTCCTATGCCACCTCCAATTTTGGCGCCTCCAGAGACACCAGCACCTACGGTAGCACCAATATCAGCATTAGCGCCACCGGATCCTCCACTGGAAACACCTGCATCGGCATCAGTTCCAGTATAGGCTTTGCCACTCCCTCCTGCATTTCCTCCGATGCCACCACCAATTTTGGCACCTCCGGAGACACCAGCACCCACGATAGCACCAATACCAGCATCGGCACCACTAGATCCTCCATCGGAAACACCTGCATCGGTACTAGTTTCAGTACTCCCTCCTGCATTTCCTTTGACGCCACCACCAATTTTGGCACCTCCAGAGACACCAGCACCCACGGTAGCACCAATATCAGCATTGGCACCACCAGATCCTCCACCTGAAACACCTGCACCGGCATCAGCTCCAGTATATGCATTTCCACTCCCTCCTGCCTTTCCTCCAATGCCACCACCAACTTTGGCATCTCTAGAGACACCGGCACCCACAGGAACACCAATATCAGCATTGGCACCAGCTTCAGCTTTGCCACTCCCACCAACATTTCCCCCAGTTTCTCCACCTACTTCAGCACTCTTCGAGATACTGCCACCGGCGCCAGCTTTGGCTTTGCCGCTTCCACCAATTTTTCCTTTAACGCCGCCACCAATTCTAGCACCTGCAGAGAAGTGGATGCCACCACCAATTCTAGCACCTGCAGAGAAGTGGATGCCACCACCAATTCTAGCACCCCCAGAAATACCAGCCTTAGCACGTGCACCTGCTTTACCCTTAGCAACAGTTTTGGCTTTGGCATTAGCACCAGCTCCAGCACTAGCGTCAGCACCCCCACCAATATTTCCTCCTATATCAGCGCCAATTTTTGCACCTGCAGCTACACCACCTCCTATCTTTGCGCCTCCAGAAACGCTTGCATCACTACCAACTCCAGCACCGGCATCGACCCCTGCCTTCCCGCCACCAGAAGCAGTTGTATCAGCATCAGTTTTGCCGCCTGCATATCCTCCAGCATCGCCACCTGCGCTGACACTGCTGCTCTTACTTGCTTTAGCTTCTCCTCCAGCCACAGCAACGGTTTCATCTTCAGCTTTTTATCCAGAGCTTGAGCATCGGCAACGGCTTCAGCTTCAACTTTAGCCAGAGCTTTAGCCTCAATATCAGCACGAACATTGATATCGACACCAAATACTACCCGACCAGACACTCCTACAATGTAAGCAAAAACATTATGTTACATTTCATCATATGTTAAAAATCTACAAACATTAGTGGTGGTGTATTTGTAGGCATGCTGCTCGCTTAATTGTGCCTTTTTGCATCCTCTATTTTTTTTTTTTTGCTGTAGATATGGCTAGGAGTACTATGTTATATAATCAAGGCATGATTTATTGATATAGTTTACCTTTCTCAGTTAATGTATTTTCTGTTACTAGGATGGTGGATATATCTAAACCTTGATAATGTGACTATATATTGACAACAGGCGGTATTAATTAAGCATTATTATTACCTGCTGCAACCTCAGCTAGCGATGACATGTTGATGGCTATGTCTCCTGCAACCGTGCAGAGGTCGTGCGCCACGCCCTTCAGCATCTCAATCTTGGCCTTCTGTGCCATTGCGGCATCGGTGGAGATAGCCTTGCAACGTTCCGTGGTCTTTTTAAGAATCTCCTGCTGAAGCCTGAGCGCTGCAATGATGTCGGCGGCGGCAACACTAGCGTGTTGCTTGCCAACTATGGTCATCTGCTCCGCGACCTCTCCGGCCATGGCCCTCATGAACTCCGCCGACTTGATCAGCAGCATCAGTTTCAGATGGAACGCGAATCTCACGTTTGCGACGATGCCCTCTATGTGCTTCACCATGCGCTTCGACATTTCTTGCTTCGCCCTGAGCAAAAGTGTAGCCTCACCAGCCGCCTTGGTAAATTCCGGATCTGGTGTTGGCGTGCAGCGTGCTTGCTGCCTTCTCATTCTTCACCCTGATCAAACCCCGAGAAAGAAAAAGAAAAGATTAGTTGCTGCATATCTGAAGCAGAGACCAAGAGCAGCTCAAGACATGAGCAATCAACATGCATGGCAATGGGGATTGTCGGATTGATGAGAATATTTCATGGTACATACCGGCGTCCGGAGCTGGGTCCGTAGTCTAGCTCCGGCTCCGCTGGCTTGGTCGGTTTGGCATGGGACATCACCGGCGTCGTCCTCCATGCTGCGATGAGCAGCATTAGGAGAACTATGGCAATATTAGAAAACTTCGCCATTGCTGATCGTTCTAACTCCCCTCGGCGCTCTACTGACTTATTGAGGATGTGATCCCTGTTGAATGAATATGATTGATTGAGCGCTCGCATTTATATAGGAGGGACTTGCCTCCTATTTTCGGTTCTCTTTTACAAATATGAACGGCTGGAATGGTTGTGGACGAGAACATTGCCCGGAGCAAGCGGAGAGTGGTCTTGCTCATAACGTGGAGAAGCCATGCCATCCATCCATTCATCTGCCTTCTTTATGAATGGACAATAAAAATCGAAGCTGTAGCACACAGGACATAATGCGTCTGTATAGTACTTTATTTACATAATACTTGGTATATTGGTCGTAGAAAGATTTTTCTACGCCGCATGCAAGAATTCAAAAGGATAAAAATGGCCGTACAATTCACATTACTGCGGTCTCGTCAGTTGCACAAGCAACTAAGCAAAGCTAAGCTGCAAACGCAGGCGGTGACTTGCATTCCCTGATCTGGCCATGATGACCATGCCTGCGGTGTCCCCTCCGGCATCTCCCGTTACCCAACTAGTGCTCGTTCCACGCACCTCAGTCTCCTTGTCGTCGCCACCCCGTACCCACGTGGCGCGGCCCTTGGCATATTCGTCATAGTAGAGCACCTCGAAAACCATGGGGATCATCAGTTTGCCGGCGAGCATATCCCTCGCGGAGCCTCGTCGCAGCTTCCCTGACGTAGTCTTGGGCACGCCACCGCTCTCGGCCAGCACGACGCACCCGACCTTCACACCTGCTTCTTTCCACACGGCTCGTCTTATGCCGTCGCAGATGCTACGAAGATGCACGTTGCTGCCGCCTCTCCCCTTTTGCAGCTCTGCCACGACGACGACCAAGGACGACGAAGACGGCGGCGTCGCAGCAAAGGCGGCGATGCAGCCACCTCGCAGTGAACCCGGCGAGCTGCCGAAAGCCGCCGTCTCAACGTAATGCGCGTGCACGCGCCGCCGTTGCCCGTCGATGGCGATGGCATCCGCGGTCCGGCCGAGTACGTAGAGATACCGCTCCGTTCCGCGCACCACGCCGCAGTCGCCCGAGTGCACGAAACTCGGGCCGGCGGCTCTCCCTGGCAGCCTCGCGCAGAACACCTCCGACGACGGGTGCCCGAGGTAGCCCGACGTGTTGCTCGGCGAGGAAACCCATATCTCCCCCTCGACGCCGTCCTGCACAGGGTCTCCGGTGTGTCCATCAACAATGACGATATCAATTTCCGTCTCCTCGCTGGAACTGGAAGAAAGCCTGGCGGATGGCAGTAGCTTCTTGTACGACGGGAGGCAAAGTTTCGCTTCCGTTCCGCGCCATGCGGTGGACACGAACGTGCAGTTCTCGGCCAGTCCGTAGGACGGCGAGATGGACGACGCGTCCAGGCTGGCGCCGCCAAACTCTTCCACGAACTCGTCAACCGATGACTTGTAGATCGGCTCGTTTACGAGGATAAGGTTCCGTAGGCTCCCGAGCTCGAGCGGGCGCGAGCCGTGCTCGGAACCAACCCCGCACTTGAGCACCAGCGGCAGCGCGAAGGACGGGACGGGCGTGCACGTGGCCTCAAACTCGGCGACGAGCTCGAGCCAGAGGCGCGGACGCCTGAGGAAGGCCGCGGGCGAGGCGAACACGCACGTGGCGCCGGCGACGACGGTGAGGAGGAGGAACATGAGGCCGCAGTCGTGGTACTGCGGCAGCCACGACGCGATGACGCTGGCCGGGTGGAGGTCGTACGCCTTCCTGGCCGCGCGCACGTTGTGCGCCGCGGCGCCCGCGGTGACCACGACGGGCCTCGGCGCGCCGGTCGCGCCCGACGTGTACTGGATCAGGTACGTCTCGTCCGGCGCGCAGCCCCTATATGGCGTCCGTGTCCGTCGTCCCGGCGTCTCATCATCATCGGCGGCCACCACATCACCCGAACTACGGCTTTCCCTCTCCAAGTGGGCGACCGACACCCACCGCAGACGCTTCAGCGCGGCGACCGGCGACTCCATGACCATGCCAATGTACCCCGCGTCGGCGACTGCCGCGGCCGGCCTCGTCTGCGACACGGCGCGCAGAAGGTGGCCGTGAGCCGCGCCCTGCAGTGCGGACGACGTGCCGAGCTTGGACGGGTCGGGCGGCACGATCGGCACAGCGACGAGGCCTGCGCGCTGGCACGCGAAGATGAGCGTCACGAGGCGGAGGCCCGGCGACCCGAGCAGGAGGACGGTGTCGCCCCTTCGCACAGTCTCGAGGAGGCCCAGAGCCATGCGTTCCACGGCGGCGTTCAGTTCGGAGTACGTCAGTGCGGTGTACGACGGCATGCCACCGCCGGCCGCACGCCGGTCATCGTCGGCCCAGACAAAGGCGGGCTTGGGGCCGAACGCCGGCTGCCTGGCCCATACACGGAGGTACTGGTCGACCACCGGCTGGTCGGGGTAGTAGGGGTCGTAGTTCTCGGTGGACATGGCCTCACACTCTGCGGACTGCTGCGGTGTGCCTGTTGTTCGGGACTCGGGAGCATGTGTGATGATGTGGAGGCGCCTATGCATCTGTCCATATTTATAGGCTTCATGGCGGTGGCTGCTGACCGAATGTACTTGGCATGTACGTCTAATTCTGGTACATGATTGGTGTGTTTGCATTTGCAATCATGTGCTTCTAATTCTCCGGACGCATCCCCCAACATGATCGAGAGGAAAACTGCATCGAAACTACCGGCACTTGAGCGCTACCTGTCATGCTGCCATATATTCAGTGGTAGAAGTGATGAGCCGAATTTGCTTTAAAAAAAAGGAGAGAAAAAATTGAACCGGATTTTTCGTGGGTTTAAACCACAGTGTCTTGCTTCACATTACATTACACCGTGGAAGCTGGCCACGTCATTAGTGCTGTGGGTGTACTACATCGAGAACGTCACCCCTGATTGCACTTTAGGGGCGGATTACCCTCAGCACAGCGAAAGGTGGCGTGGCAGCCTCGCAGCGGTAAAATCTGTGAAGCCATAAAAAATGACACTCTGCTTGCTCTTTTTTACTGAGGTGGATAAAAGCGAGGGGGAAGAACGGCTTGTTTGGCTGGCTTTAAGCCAGTCGGCTGGCTTGTTTTTTTTCTCACGAAATTACTGTTTATGTCTTGTCAGAATAGTATTTTTCTCTCACAACAATCAGCCAGAACAGTATTTTTCAGTCCTGCCGAACAGGCCTGAAATTGACCTGCGCGGGACGAGGCAAAAAGTCCTCGTGCCGAACGAAGCTAACAGTGGACATTGAGGCGCATATCCGCGAGATGCCCTGTCAGTTATTCCATCCAGGCTCGCTATGATAGTGACTCAGGTAGCTGCACAAGTTGCCATTGGCGCAGAGATGTCTAGTTTCGGTGCAGAGATACAGCATCGCTCGTTGGTTTCAGCCAGGGCTTATCAGTCAGCCAACAGTGTTTTTCTCTTATAACAAACCAGCATCAATCGGGCTTATCAGCATAGAAACCATCCAGCAAACAGGCCGTATCTGTGAGCAGCGTGAACGAACTTGCCATTCCACAGAAGAAGGATTTGTTAATTGAGTGTGCTCTGGACCGGTGATATTAGTGATGTGTTGGGTAGCGTTTGAAAGATATGTCGCCGTTGATGCCGAGGGAAAAGATGGTTAAATTAGTGGCCAAAGACGCTGGAGAATATTATTGTATGGAGTGTGCTTGTGCCGTGTATGTAAAGACAAATCAGAGTGGCTGTTATAACCTCAACCTCGTATGTGCCAAGTATATTCGTGGGTCCAACCCGACATTCCTCATGGGCAGAACACATGCACTAGGTGTAACGGCTCTAGGCTTTTTTTAAAAAAAAAAATTGTGTGTCTAGAAATCTATTGACTAGCGTACATGACCGCGTGGCATAAATATTATGTGGATTTAATATCCATAATTAGCTACGTATCTTGTTGAATTTGATTGGGCTTATCTAACCTTTTCAGCTGGAAATGCTCTGTAAAGGGCGTCCGTTCATCCGTACGCACCCTTCGCTGTCTTACATGCCAATAGTTTGCTCTCTTCACGGCTTCTTCATTTTTAAAAAAGAAAACCGGATGCTTCCCTTTCCTCTTCGCCCGTTGCGGCCGATTCCACCGCGCGCTTGCCCGCTGCGAGCACCGCACCCCGTCTATCATGGCCTTTCTCCAGCGCAGGGGCACCGCGCCGCGGGCAGCGCACCCCGTCCGCCGCGGCCTTTCTCCAGCGCAAGGGCACCATGCTGCGGGCACCGCACCCGCTCGCCCGCCGCGACCTTCTCTAGCGTGGGGTGTCGTTCGCAGCGGGCACTGCACCCACCCACCCACTAGCACCCCCTGCCACTCTATGTCGACGTCGAGCTCTGCATGTCGACGAGCCTCCATTCGTCCAAGCAATAAGTAGATTGGCGCTAAAAATGCATGTTGCAAGCGTATGTTTCATACGTATGTTGCATTTTATATCGATGTTACAAAAGTAGACCCAGGATGTTGTGTATGTTGCAATGGCTATACACGTATGTTGCAAGTGTATATTTCCAAATGTTTCAACTGTATTAGACGTATGTTGCAAGTGTATGTTCTCTAAATGTTTCAGTTGTTTCAGACGTATGTTGCAAGTGTTTCATCCAAATGTTGCAAGTGTTTCATCTAAATATTGCAAAAGTAGATCTGAATGTTGCACATGTTGCAATGACTATACAGATGACTATACAGTTATGTTTCAAACGTATGTTGCACATGTTGCAACGGTAGGGCCGATGTTGCAGAGGAGATGAGATAAGACGGGAGCAGAGCACGGTGAAGGACAGGCATGTCGGGGGAGGTGGCGACCTAGCGGGGGAAGGGGCATGGCGAGGCCATCGTGTGATGTGCGAGCGTGAGCGCGGCAGTGGACAGGGCACGGCGGGGATGGTGGCATGGCAGGGGAAGGGGCGTGGCGGGCCAAGGATGCCGCAGATTGACGCGAGACGCTCCTGTTTGTGTTTACGACGCGGTAGGGTAACAACGCT